CCCCGCCAGGCCCCCGAGGCCACCCGGGTGCTCCCGGCCCGAGTTCTGATTCCGCCTTTCAACTGCTCTGGCCTTTTTGCTCTGGCTTCCTCCCCCGGCCTGCTCTGTCCTCCCCAGCTCGGGAAAGCAACAGTTTATTGTGGCATCCTGGCCATCGCAAGAACTGCAAGCAGGCAGTTTTTTTTTGTTTGTTTTTTTGTTTTCTTCTATCATCGAACACTTTTCTACCTCTGTTCAAGTTTCCCTGGGAATTTGGGCTTGGAGTGGCTAGTCCCCGGATGCGATGGCCAAGTGTCACAGGAGGGACGCGGACCTGGACGCGGAAGGCAGGGCCGTGCTTGTGCGCTCCTGCCTCCGAGTGTGAGTTAGGGTCAAGGTGCGTAGTTTGTGGATGTGTGAAGATGGGGGTGTGACTCTGCCAGCAGAGGCCTGAGTGCTGGAGAGGGGCCCTGACACCTCGCTGGGAAGCAAGCCTCAGTGTCCTGAAGATTTAACCCCAAATTCCCACCCTGGCCATCAGGACTCTCCCAGCACGTACATCGACCGTCTTTCTGTATCAGCTGCATAGGCAACACTCTCTTGGAAGCATCCCCCCATCCTCCCATATGTTACATATTAAACAGACATGGGATGTCTTTTTTCCCCGTCGACTCTCAGTTTTAATGTATTGAAAACCCTTCACCCCACTGCCACCTTTAAATCCTTCCCAACATCCATCCAGTAACGTTTAGGAGGTACAACCTTCTCACTTAAAGTAATAAGAAAACATACCACAAACCCAGAACATTATTTACTTGTCCGTTGCTATAGAATGATCTCTCATATGATGAGCTAATAATTGATTTTTCCTCCTCTTAAAAAACATAAAGGTGGAGGCCAAATTTGTCCCAGAGGTGAGAGGAAGAGCTTGGCATCCTCAGAGCTGTGGCTTTCAACTCTACTCACTCCTTCTTTATTTACTTCCTTAGTGAACTGAATGGGCGACAAACCCTTTTCAATGCAGAGGTGCCTCGAACCTTCATTAGGCCTTTAGGACTTTAAAACATGCAAGAAGTGTGTTCCTCTGTCTGTTTAGGTTTCCGTAGGAAAAGGGGAAGAGGATGCACCACCCCGTGACCTGCTGGAACACAACAAGCAGCAGGGAGGATGCTCTCCTGGCTGTGACAAGGGACCAGAGCTCTGGAAAGCCACGCTGCCGGACTTGTCAGCTCCTGGGCACCGTGGGGGGTGGGGGGGTGGCATCTCCCTCCCCAAGACCTGCCTCTCTGTGTCCATGCTCTGCTCCTTGGTTTACCTTCCCAGGTGGCCAGGCTGGCATAAAGCCAGTGGTCCAGGCTATGAAACACATGGCCACCTTGGGGCAAACCAGGCAGGCCGGTGAGCGGGTGTGGCGAGATGACTCAGCCCTGCCTTGGGACAGCTGCTGGGTGCAAGGAAACTGGAAGCCGGTCCACTTGAGGTCAGCTCCCTCCAACAGCCCAGCCTTTCAGAGTGCTGCACACCCACCCCCTTGGGTGACCCGGGAGAGCCAGGAGCAAAGCTGTCCCTGTGGTTCCCAGGAGTCTTTCAGCCACAGAGGGTGTGATCCTAGGGCCAAAAGTGTATACAGAAGGGGATGAATTGCCATAAAAGCGCCTGCAATATAAACAACAAC